GGGAAATGGTCATCCTACAGGTTTTGGGTACAGAATCCTGGCCCCTTTGGCAGGTCCCCGTTTCCACTCTACCCTTGAAGCTCTATCCTCGTCCTGCTGCCTTACACATGGGCTTCAGCTGTCCCAACAGCTCCTCCCGGGACCACTTCAGCCACTCTCGACGATCGCTGCTGATGGAACAAAAGATGGGGCTGCAGCCCTTTCCACAATCCTCCAGGGCTGGGACATTCAGGTAGTGCACAAGGACGATGTCAGGGTTCTGAGAGAACAAGGGTACAGACAGAGAGCCATGGGGTCCTGAGGTCCAGAGGCTCAGCTTCCCAGTCCTCACTTTCTTCCTGGGCACCCCTCCCAACCTCAACCCCAATTTTTGGCTCTCTCCATCCCCCACCTCCTCTCTCTCCTTCCCAGGCTCCTTTTCCCACTCAGAACCTAATCATCCTTCTACTTCATCCTTTCGGACCCATGTCCCTCAAAGAGCCAGGAAGAGTCTGGCTCCCTGAGCTCTTCTGTCCTTACCTGGAGCAGCCAGTAGCAGCGCCGATGGAATGTGGGGACGATGGAAGAGTGAACGTAGCAGCCATAGAGACACTGCCAGGAGACAGGCTGGGGTGGGGGGAGGGCTAGTCTGCTCCCCAACTCTTCCTCTGTTCAGTCCCTTTGCAGGAATCCCAATCTTTCCACCAGTTCCTCTATAACCCTTCCCCCACCCCCACTTACTCCCCACCCCTTTCAAATCCCAGCAGCCCTGAGTCAGAGATGAGGGTTAGAGAGAAGGGAACAGCAAGGCTGGGACCTTACAATGAGGGTCAGATTTGAGACATGGGACTATCTAGAAATCAGAGAGCAGAGCAAGAATATATCTGAGATGAGGAGCAATGATATGGGGAAGAGAAAACTGTACTTAGAGCATCACTGCTTAGATCCCTCAGGGAAATACAAGAGCAATAAGGGGACTGGGCATCAGTGTTCTAGCAGGGAGTCATGCCCTAAAGCCTGGAGAGTTGGGTCAATGGGGGAAATGGGAAACAGACAGTGGCCTGAGTAATCAGTTAGCTGATCCAAAGTGAGTGAGAAGGGAAGAGTGACCGGGAGGGGACTGAGACAGACGATGTCACCAGGCCCTAGAAGGGCTGGATTCCAGCTAAGGGTAGAGGAGGGCAGGTTAGGGCAGATGAGCTGAATGTCTGACTCTCTTACCTCCATGCCCTGGACCTTCAGCTTCATGTGGTCCTCTCGGGTGGTCTTCCCATCCTTCCGCTTCTTCCAGAGGTAACCATCCTTCCGGTATTTCACTTTCTTGCGGTTATAGAGGATGATGGAGCCATTCTGAGGCCTGGGAAGGGAAGGGTTGGCTTCAAGTTCTGTGAACAGAACCTGGGACCCCTGCCACTCCCCACCTTGTTAAACTTTCTTACCTTGTCTTTGGGGCACAGGATAGCCACTCATCATGCTTCTCAAAGGTGATCAAGTAGGATGCAATCTCCTGTAGGAGAAGAGGCACTCAGGTGGGTATCCCCTTCATAGAGTCTCAGCCTAGCCTCTTGGTCATCCCCTCAGTGTCTCACTCTTTGCTGAGTTGCAGCAGCTAGTGTAGGATGCTTCTAGGTATCTGGACCAAGCAAGGCCCACTGACCTTTTAAGAACGCCAGGTTCCATCTCTCCTTCCCTCCCTCCCACCTGAGGCCTTTATCTTAGGGCCAGGTCCACGTTCTTCATCACCCATTCTTCACACTGTGTATTATCTTACTACTCTCAAATACCATTTTTACGTCCCTTCCTGACTCAAAAAAACTTCAGTGGTTTGACACTGCCAGGATTTCAGATTCTTTGGCCTGACTCCAAGGTTCTCTTCAACAAGGGATCAAACCATTGTTCCCACTATTCACCCATATTGCACCTGCCATTCTTGCCAGATGCGTCCATCGATTCTTCCCCAAACATGCCTTGAGCAATCAGCTCCTGCATGTTAGTGCCCTGTAAACCTGAAGTACCATGTGCTCACCTCTCCATGTCTGGAAATCCTAGCCATCCTATAGACCAAATCCCTTTCCAGATGCTCTGTGAAGCCCTGCTGGCCACCCTAGCCCTTCCTAAAGGCTCTACAGCACTTAAAATGACACACACACACACCCTTTACTGAAAATTCTCTTCTAACATCAAATTAATAATTATCGACCATGAACTACATCTGAGGCACTAAGTGTGCAGAATACAGAAGGTGAGTAACACAAGGACTGTGCCCTCTAGAGGGGCCAGTATCAGTGGTGGTTAAAAGCAGAAGCTCTGGAATGAGTTAGATAATAGTTTGCATGAGGTAAACTGGTTTCCTCATCAATAACATGGGGGTGGGGGTAATAACAGGACCTGTTCTATAGCGTCCTTGGAAGATTAAAAGAGATAAGGTAGGGCAAGTGCTTAGCACAGTGCCTCGTATGTAAGAAATTCTTTACAGGTAGTAGCTGTCGTTTTTACCAAGGCAGACATGCTAAGAAATGGGCTTCTGCAAGATCTGTTATCTTTCTACCTCTGCTCTTATCTCCAAAGAGCCTAGAACAGTGCTTTGTGCTTAGGAGTATCAACAGACACAGAAAGACCCCCACTCATCTTCCTCCAGCCCCCTAGGCCTTGCTGGGTCCTAATCCCCCAGGTCCGTAGAAAACCTCATTTGTATTCCACCGTAGCCGCTCTGGAGGCAGCAGCGGGCAGCGAGGAAGACACTCCAGCAGCTTCTTGGGGAGAAAGATCTTCAGGTGGTGGCTGTTCTCTAGAAGGAATTAGAAGGGAGGGCTTAGTGTGCTACCCTGACATCCCTGTGATAGACAGCCTAGGGGAAAGGGCTGAAGAGGACCTGGAGCATTGGGGAAAGCTGAAGCCGTGACAAGGAGAGCAGGGAATCCAAGAATTAGAGGGCCACCACAGCATGGGGAGAACAAAAGGCCATGCCCAAATCGGGAACCTGGTTTGTGAACTCACCAGCAACCTCGGTGGTGTCCTTGGTATTCATGGTGAGGGATCCAGGGGGCAAGGTCACCCCCGGCCTGAGGGGCCGGGGGGAGGGGGAGTCTGTGCTGGGAAGGGAGAGAACAAGTTTATGACAGAAGCCCCCACATTAATCCAGGATGAGGAGTATGAGGCAGGGGAGGGGGTACAAAACTGGGTTGTGATATCAGGGAAAGATGAGAAATGAGAGGAAGGAGCTGGGCTAAGATGTGACAGTAGAACCAGGGAATGGAAGTGAGGGAACCCAGACACGGTGCCAGGAACCAACATGAATGGAGAGACGGAACAGAGAGTGAGCAGGAAGAAACGGGTTGTGGTGGGGGAGGGGAAAAGGCTGGCAGGGCTGGGGCCTCAGAGGCCCTAAAGCTTGGGCTCTTGCTGCTGCTGGGGCTATGGCAGGGTCAGGTCCTGAAGGTTGGGATTCAGGGCATCCAGTCCTTGGAGGATGGTTTGGCAAGAGAGCCTGGATGCTGGGGGAAGGGCAGGAGATTCTAAGTATGGGTGGAGAGTGAGGCCTTAGAAGACACACCCTGAGTTCCTTCTCTATTTGATTTTTCCAAGGGGAAGGGCATATCTGATAACTGATCCAAACCTACTCTCTCTTCCAGGTTACTTAGGGCCTGGTAAAATCTGGGTTAGACACCCAGGATCCAGGTTCCCACCCTCAGGACAACCCATCCTCCACCCCAAGGCTGACAGCCCTCTCCACCTCTCTCAGCCCCCTCCCCAACCGCCTCTGCCTCCCCTGGCCTTCAGGCCTACCCTACCCCATCTACCGCGCTGGCTTCAGCCAGAGCCCCCGCCCTCCTGGGGGAACAGATGGGAGCTGGAGGAGGCTCTCAGCGCGGGCTCCACCAGGTATCCGAGATGGAGAGGGGGAGGAGGCCCGTCGGCTGTGTGCAGTGAAGCTGGGGTTGGGGTAAGGACTCCGCCCCAGGGCGCAGGTGCGCAGTCCCGGCTAGGCAGCCTGCCAGGGTGCGGAGCAGAAGCGGATCCTGGGCTGCAGGCCTGGGGGTGGCGCCGGACTCTGACGGCCGGCGCTTGGGGCGGCCCCCCACGGCGGGGTGGTGGTCCCCGGAGAACCTCCGAGGTGGGAGGTTCCCGCCAGCACAGAGGGATGTTCTGGAGAAGCCGCGGAGCAGAGTTCGCGGGCGCGCGGAGCGCAAGGAACAGTGCAGGTGCCGGGTGCGGGGGTCCCCGGGACGGTCCCCGGCACGCGCTGTTCCGCCGTGGGGCCCTGAGCGGAGTGGCGCCCCCTGGCGCGGGGGAGGAGGACGGAAGCTCGCGGTAGCAGCGAACCGGGAGGAGGGACGATGGTCCCCGGCGCAGAGCTCCACGTCCGGACTTGGTGGAGCTGCGCCCCCTGGCGCGGGGGCGGAGAGGCGGGTGAGAGGCCCTGGCTCTTACCTCCCGGGGTCCCACGGGTGACGGCAGCAGCGGCCATTCTACCCCACACCGACCCCCCCTCCCCAGCGCCGGCTGACAGCGGCGTCCGACGTCACTGCGCACGGGGCGGGGCCTCCCAATTAAGGGGATGGGGGTCGGGAAGGGAACCTGGGGTCAGCACACGTGGGGTTCTGGGTGGGGCGCTGGGCCGAGGGACTCGGCTTCCAGGGCTCTGAGCCAGGCCAAGGGACAGACTGCTAGGAAGGGGCAACAGCGCTGAGGGCCAGGATTCCAGGTCCCGGAGGCGGAAGCTTGGCTGACTGACGTGACTCCGGGTCGGGAGAATGGGGAGGGGGGACGGTGGTCCAGTGCTGGAACCCGAGAGGCTGGGTGAGGAACGCTGGAGTTGGGGGCAGGATTTCCCTCCCATCGGGCAAGCCTCCTTGAATTTGGGGACCCAGCCCGGCTTCATTGTAGCTGGGCCCTCGAGCAGGTGAAAGGAGCCCTCCTTCCCCTCGTTCCCTATTAGCCTCTCCATCGCTGCTTCACAGGGAGAAAGACAACTCCGGGCTCCACTTGCTTGCTTTTTAATAACGGAACAGAGAGAAAAACACAAGGCCAGGAGCGGGGCTTAGAGGAAAACAGGACTTGGCGAGTTCCTGTGAGAGGGGTGGGTTGAGATAACAACCCAGGGGGCTGTTAATGCCTAGTTTGGAGGATGCGAAATGCAGTTGGAGAGGCTGAGGAAGGGGAAATGCCTTCGTGTCAGCAATGGGGACTATTCTAATGGTGGAACTAGTTTTTGGTCTCTCAGGGACCACCAGCATCTTGGGCACAGATGGTCTCTCCTTACTCCTCAGACTCCAGCTCCATCTCCCAGGGATTGTAAAGGGGGTTCCTACTGGCTGTGACAGTGCTGAAGGAGGGCAGAGAGTGCAGCCATCTGGAGGGGCAAGCCTCCTCCTGGCCCAGGGGACTCCAGGGAGACCAAAGCAGCTGTAAAGATAAAAGAAATTGAAAAAAATACAAAAGTAGGTCTGTCTCCAGATTCCCTAGTTCCAAAGCCCAGGAACACTCAAGTCTTTGACTCTCACCTACTTTATTTTTGCTCCTCCCAAATCCAGCTATCCAACCTGGCTCTCAGCATCTTGTCTCTCCATGTAAGACTGGGGGATCTACATCACCCTCCACCACTCCACCAAGTTCCTCTCCAATCATACCTGGGCCCTGCCAGGAGTGAACAAACGTCCCTCTTCCTGTGGATAGGTTGCCCTTTCTTCTTCCTGATCAGGGTGTTCAGTGGTGCTGGGGAATCCACAGCCCTCTTCGGCGAGCACCGGGGGCTCACGTGCAGCCCCAGAGCCGCCCCACTGGGCCTTCTTCAGTCTGTGGAGACAAGCTTAGGAGAGAGGTGCTGGAAGCCAGGCTTCCTATCTCTCCATTCTTCACCTTTCAGTTCTGAAATACTTCCCGCCGCGACCCAAGGGTGTAGTCATTTGACCTCCAATCCTCCATTCCCAATTTTCTGCTCTTCTCAGACTGAAGCATTTTTAGTCCAGGGACTCAGAGGTGACCCCCTAGCTCCCCACTGTCCTCCAGTTCTATGGTGTGCTTTCCTGTCTTCAGTGACTCACTTTCCCCTCCTCCCAGCTCATGTGGCTCATCCTCTATCCTTCAATTCCCTCCTCCTTTCCACATTATAGAAATTCTGTTTCAAACACACCAAGCCCACGGCTCCTTCCCAGACAACCTCCAATTCTCTCAAAGCTCTCAACCCCTTCCTTAGCTCAAACCATCCTGCCCCCAAACACTGCTTGGCTCCCAGAACCCAGATGTCTCGCCTCCTTACTCATTGATGGTTCTCAGGCGCCTCCTTAGGTCCTCCAGGTGATAAGAGACAGCCCTTACCCGGGCAGGGATGCCCCCAGGTCCCTGCTGTGTTCCCTCCATACGTGGCCTCCTTCTCTTTCTTCTGCAAAGCATCTCAGGGGGTGGGAGCCCCTCAGGAGGGTACAGGCCAGGCAGGGAGAAACCAGTGGCTCTCTGTGCCAGAGAATGGGGGAAAGGAGCTAGAGGAAAGAACTGGGTTTCTCAGAGGAACTTGGACTGAACTAGGGAGTCAGGGGTCTTAAGAAACCCAGCTGTAATCTTGTGAACATGATGATTGGAAAGGAGGGTCTGGTTGGGGAATACCAGAGGGAAGAGGTAATAAGGAGAACTGGGGACAAGATGACGGTGCAATTTTAACAGAGAAGTATGGAAGGGCAGAGAGATTGTCATACCAGCATGGGTGGAATGTACTTTTCCTCCCTCCAGGTAGGGCTGTGAAAAACACATACACAAAAAGAGCTAAGTGCGGAGAGGACACCCCCATCCGTATTCCTTCTCTAATGACCTCTCCCAACCTTCTGTCTGGCATCAGGAGCTATAATGTCCAGCCAGTGGGAAATTATCCCTAGACTAGGGCTTATTGTTATAAGGATTTATGGTAGTTAAAAATTGCACAGCCTCACCTTCCCACTTCAGTTAGTTTCCCTTTTCTCCTTTCCTACTCACCTGGGCCTTTGACTAAGGTTCTCCCAGAAGACAGCTCCATAACGCTGGGTCATTGGTCTGAGGCTCTGGGAAGGCATGGTTGGGGGTGGAGATCGGCTGACCACCCTGGAACACCTGAGGCGAGGACAAGGTAGGCTCAGGTCTGGCTCTTTCCTTATGGCATCTACTCACCCCAAGGATTCAGGTGCCTGTCTTTCTCTGGGACCATACAGCTGCCCACATTCCCTCAGGCCATGTCCTCTCTCAACCAGTTTAGCTGAGGACAGTGATGACGCCTTTGATTTGAAAGGACATTGAGGGTGGAGATTAGCTATTGTTTGAGCCTCAGATCTCACTGAATCTCACATTTCTACACCTCATAGCCAGAGAACATAATGTCTAGCAAGCACAGTTGTTAAAGAGGAAGGCCCTGGATACTTAGGTGATATGACAGGCAGGGTTCCTTTAGGTCACTGCAAGGATCCAGGAGAAAGAATCTCTGTTTACCCCTACTTTGTCTCCCCAACTCAGGACTAATATCTTTATATTAAGAGATAGAGAGAAGTGTGCAGAGCTGTTCGAGACCAGTGCCCCTCACTTCCAAAGCCCACAGATTGAATGATGACTGCACTCCTGATCTCTAAGCAGTGGAGTGTCCTAGGGCTTAGGCCTGGGGCCCTTTATCTTCTCCATCTCTCCTTAGGTGATCTCACCCAGATCCATGACTTTAAATACTGCCAATGTGCCAGCAACTCCCAAATCTATATTTCCAGCCCTGGTTCCTTCCTGGGCTCCACTCAACATCTCCTCCTCAGCCTTCCCCCTCTCCCTGAAACGTACCCCAAATGCCCAGTTGCTAGGTCCAAAAATGTGGTATTCGCCGCTTTCTGTCACCTCACATGTCCAATCCATCAGCAAGTCCTGTCAGTTCTACCTTTAAAAAACTGCATATCCTAATTTGACCACTCCTCACCATTTCCACCCCCACCACCATATTCCTGATCATCTTCCCATTCCTGGACTATTGCAATGGTTTCCTCCTCCTCTCCCTGTTTCCAGTATCATCCCCCAACAATCTGTTCTGCACAGAGCAGTAAGAGTACTCTTTCAAAACATGATCATGTGAGGGCTGGGCACAGTGGCTCATGCCTGTAATCCTATCACTCTGAGAGGCCGAGGCGGGAGGATCACTTGAGCTCAGGAGTTTGAGACCAGCCTGAGCAAGAGTAAGACCCCGCCTTGACTAAATATAGAAAAAAATTAGCCGAGCAACTAAAAAAAATAGAAAAAACAGCCAGGCGTTGTGGCTTGCGCCAGTAGTCCCAGCTATTCAGGAGACTGAGGCAGAAGGATTGTTTGAGTTTGAGGTTGCTGTGTGCTGTGAGCTAGGCTGACACCATGGCACTCTAGCCTGGGTGACAGAGTGAGACTCTGTCACAAAAAAACAACAAACAAAGATCATGTGAAATGATACAAGGTTTGAGATATACTTCAAAATAATTTGGGGAAACTGAGAATCCAGATATAAAACCGTCTTCATATAGCCACCTAATCTTTGACAAAGCAGACAAAAACATACACTGGGTAAAAGAATCCTTATTCAATAAATGGTGCTGGGAAAACTGGATAGCCACATGTAGAAGACTGAAGCAGGATCCACACCTTTCACTTCTCACAAAAATCAACTCACTCTGGGTAACAGATTTAAACCTTAGGAGTGAAACTATTAGAATTCTAGAGGAAGATGTTGGAAATACTCTTCTAGA